TTTGCCAAGCGAACCTAAGAGATTACTGTAAAATATGCCACCTTTATTGGGGGCCCTGGGCGAATATCAAATCTGTCGTTATCTTGGGGGACTGAACCTCTCTCAGGCCGTCAGATTATTTTTCATAACAGTGTGCATTGTGCATCAACATTTTTGTGTAACCAATTTCAATGAAATGGCAACTACTCAACTCTTAGTTTTATATTGCATTTCACACAACATAAGCCTTGTGTAGGGTCGCTTTGTCCATGCACAAAATTTCAAATTCAGATCCCGCAACACCAATATTTTGTATGGCCAGTTAAACAATAAATAGTGATGCCATACAATAAATCATAATAAACGTGCAGAAAATGTTGGCATCAGAACATAATGGAATGGCAGGGCAAAACAAGATATAATGTGATATCCATGTATGGTGCTTTGAAATCATTTGTTTTCACTCTCGCTTATTTGCTTTAACATATTTCTTTTCTTTTGATTTTTATGATCATCAATCATGACTTCAAATGTGATCTTCATGCATATCACATCAGTTACACACCCTTATTTCATAACTACATTGTAATATGAGGATATGATGAAACTTACAGTATTATCTCATTTGTAAATGACACGCCTTTCAGCAGGTATGAATGAAAGAGGGCCAGGCATGAATAAAAGAGGGCCAGGCAGGAAGTCGGCACAATAGCTGAATTTGAATCCAGATATCATTCACATTTCACTAATAAGGTCAAATAAATACAGCCTCTTGACATTCTTTTATACAATCAAATAACACACGACAATAGATCAATCTATTGATCTAATTCGAACAATATTATCAAAGAATTACCTGTGATCGAACAAGACTGCCATCCTGGTGGTAACCATAAATAAAATCATTTGTTAAAAGATTCCTGTAATAAAGGAAATAGTTTATTTTTGTTTAGAAGTAATAATGACAAAGAAAGTTTGCATTCCACTGAATGAATGTTAAATGATCTTGTTTAAAACCTTTGTTAAATGATCTTGTTTAAAACCTTTTAAAACGAAAATGAAGGTGAAATTCCACATGCTGAAGAACACCTGTTGAATAGAGTATCATCAAGAACAAATTACGCCCACTCAAATTCCACAAGTCAACTTTACTTTCTTCAAGATTTAAATTATTGGGCAGGGTTTTCTCTTTATAGAGAAACAGATACATGAGAAGGACACGTTCATCACACAAGCCTTTCAAATTTACACATGTCATTACAAAATTGAATTAAAGTTTCATTAATTAATTCAAGAAAAATGGGTAAGAAAAAGCAAAAAAAAAAAAAAAATCACTCTGAGTGCCCACGAACCTGCATCTCTACCTTAAAGCAAGTTTCATTTTTTAATTTGAAATTTATAAGTTTGTGTCACTGATCAATTGAAGTACAGGTTTATTAAGAAGAAAATAATTCAAGAAATGATAATTAACTATTTTTGTTATCATATCATTACCCACTTGAACTAAATACCTGGCTATAATGAACAGTAGTTAAACTAGGGCAAGGCAATTTACGCAATAAACTGCTTCCTATCCCTAAACCTTGAACTGGTTCAGGTTAAGCCTGTAGGTTTACATTCTTACAAGACAGATCAATAGTATTGTCCCAACCCTTAGCGTGATTATACTACATAGTAATTGTAGATCTAGGCTTGTTCCATTCCATAGCGTCATAAAACCAGACACAATAATTGTAGAACATAGAGAGTAAAAAATAATGGCTCTATACAAACCAGGTCAGTGGTAACAGGATGTGCGTTCTGAGATGGGCGTGTCAGACATTTCATCTGAATACCATGGGTGAAGTTAAATTATGACTACATTTTTAAGAGATACCAAAACTTACAATTTGTGACACGATTCTCAGCAATAGGACAACTGACATGATAATGTCACTTACGGTACTTTTTACTTAGTTTGTACTAACTTATACATGAACTTTTTTTGGAAGATCATTATTATGAATGGTTTAGATTCCATATCACATGTAATTACAGATATAAGAAAGGTAACTGAATTAAACATTTCACAGTGAGTAGCCCATAGTCGTAACGAACAAATGCTTCCCATGGTTTAATAGGGGGTTTACTTTGATTTTTTGTGTTAATATAAAATAAGAATAATGCTGTAAACACATTCCAAAAAGCACATGTTCATTTATCAACCAATTTGTTGATAGTTACAAGTTTTAAATCAAAAATTAGGTCAAGTTATTGATTTCCATTAAATTATAACCCACCCTGGGTTAGAAACTTGAATATTGCATCTGCACTAAAAACGTGACCATAACTCAACACATTTCAAATAACAATTGTTTTATGACCTCATTCTTTTGTGTTGAGTTCTCACGTTTTCGAGTAACGCATTGAATGGCATACTTGCCCTTTCAAGAGAATCGTCATGGTGACTGCACTCGGCATTCGCCATGATCAGAATACAGTAGAGTAATTGAATTACTGAAGTTGGTGATGTACACAAAACTAATTATACAGGAATTTGTGGAATTTCAGTTACTTAACAGTGTTAGCAAATGTTAGATTATAGATGAGAATGGTCATGGGAAACTATTTTCACCAGAGACAAAAAATTAAAAAAAAAAACCTGTTGATTCAAACAGATAAATCTACCTACAACAAAACATCATTGGTGTCAAATTATTGAGCCAACTCACCTCACTGTACACACAGACTAGAAGTACAGATTTTCGCTGACTAATTTTTGGGAGTTACATTTTAGTGTATTATTTTCGCTTTAAATACGAGAAAAATTAGAACCAAGTGAATATGCAAAATTAACGACAATAGAATCAAAGACACTAGTGTCTTTGATAGAATGTATTGTTTTCTTCACAAACCAGTGAAATTAAATTCTAATAAATATCTTACAAAATCAAAACTGTTAAAAAATAACTAAATATTTCTCATTCCACAGTGCTATAAATTTGGGTGCACACAAATATCCACGATTTATAGTCTGAAAAATTATATCACAAGACGGCCAGATGGATAGATATATCGAAAAACATTCAATAGAAATATTTTTGAGTAAGTTTAATAATGTAATGTTGTAAGGTGCTGAAATTAAACCACACTGAATAATGAAAACGTTCATACTTGATGACTGTCTCAGCTCAATTATCAGTTATCTTGATGCAAAAAGTGTTAAAAAAATGGAAAAAGTTAAAAATGAGGAATAAGCAAAAACTGTTCACATTGTGCTAGACTAAAACACCGTACATTGTATTTCATCTATATCTAGTAGCCAATGGCAACAATTCTCAGCATCATAATATCAATTTTGTTTTACAATAAACCAGTCCTTAAAACAAGACTAGGAGCCCCATACCAGTTCTTGGCAAATGAAACACTTTGTTTAAAAACTGAATATACTAGTATCGTAAATTGGAACACCTTCAATGGGAATCTAACAATGTGAACCATGGTGCTACATATCATAGCTACCTGATTCAGAATTCAGTACGTGGGGCACGCATATACAGAACAAGGAGTTCCATCTACTCACTAACATCACAGGATTATCCCACAGATAAGAATTTCAACTGAACTAAAGGACATTGTTGTCCCTTAACACAGCAAACACAGGAGGTCATGCATCGGAAGGTATTCAAAATACAGTCTTTGTGAACTATTCTTTGATGGCTTAACAAGGGATCTTTGTACTCGGTACAATGTCACTAAAGAACAGTCAACCTGTTCTGAAATAGTACTGCGCTGTATTTACTACAGGATCGTGACTCGAACTAGGGTAAAGCAATTGTAATTGTGTACATAGCACCCAATAAAAGTCAATTAAAATGTACCATAGAGTGAATTACACATGTCATTTATATCCTATAAAAAGCATTTTTTTGATAAAATACTTTGTCTTGCAGCGAGTGTGACTAATCACTTAGTTATGGGCACATGTGTTTTTATATCCCCAGAGGAGTGTATGAATGAGACAGGTATACTACACATTACGGTAATATTAGGAGTAACAGCCAGACTGACCTAGATATCAAATATACATGTATTAGCATTTACCGCAGGGTATGGTGTCAATTTTCATCTTCACAAAAAACCATGATCTCTGAAAAACTGATCTCTTCAGTGAAAATAAATTTCAAATGAAAATAAGGTACTTTATAGTATATACCGGTAACAAGCATTGTACCTGTTGCACAGGACCATATTGAACACAACATGGGGCTACAATTGTTCTGATTTTAGTGAATAGAACAAGTACCGGTAATTATAAAGCGCCATAAAAGGCGAAAACAGCAATTTAAAAAATTTATCATTATTCAGAGAAAAAAGTAGCTTCAGTATTGGAGTAGGTTTAGTGGTTAATTTGCATAACAAACATAATTTACACATCCTTGAAATATAATCTCTTGTTAGGAATTAGATTATGAATTTGTTTCCCTACTAAAGTAGTGAACACCCAAGTGTGGCAGCCCCTCTTTTAGTCTTCACAGACAACCCGACAACCCCGTAGATAATGGAGAGTACTGTGAACACTTGAGGTAACAAAATGACAAAGTGGTTGAGGCACATTTTCTGTCTGGTTCAGTTATTTCATCTAAGCAGCAAGTAATTAACAGAAAAAATGATCTACTGTGAACTTAACTACACTTTTCAATTTATAACAAAGTACAAAGTCTTGCTAGAGGGAACTTTCATATATATAGCGAGTGCCGTATCCTAGGGCACACTAACAATTGTAATACGTATAGTGAAAATTTGCAGCCAATAAGTATATTGCAAGAGCTTTATTGCTGTCTGTATCTGTAGTCAGAAAGGTCAAATTAAATACTAAATGAATATTCAATTATTACAACCAGTTTTTTTTATTCCTGTGTGGTAGATAGATATACATGTACATACAAGACATACAGAGTACTTACATATTTTCTGTAAGTTCAATCTCAAAGAGCTGCCCAAACCCTTCAAGCGTTACCGTTGTGAATTCAGTGTCTTCAGAAAATGTGAGCACAGGATATACAACATCGTACTCTCCTAGAGAAAGAAAATAAATGTGATAACAATCTTCAACTTTCCATAAAACTATTTGGTATCCCATGATTCCATGGTGCTATCCCTGGGATTAACAGAATCTCCTTTAATACATGCATATATTCACAATTACAAAATGATACAAGATACAAAATGTAGCATGTGGTAATTACTAAGTCAGCAAGAATAAAATATATATTGATTTAAATCAACATTTAAACAAGCCATTTTATATTTATTAATTAGATTGTGGTTACGTGATTGGTTTTAATTACCAAATAAAAACACTTTTCTGCCAGACATGCAAAAAGATAGAAAATGAAATACATTTTGTTACAAATTGTGAAAACTATAAAAATGGAAAACAACACATGTAGAGGCTATTCATGTAACTACTTATTATGGGCTGAAACATTTTGAAGATCAAAATTTGTAACTCTTTTAATTACAAAAAATCATTAAAATTGAGTACTGACATTACAGACAATGTACCAAATGAAACAATTACAGCAAGATAATTTACACACTACTGTATTGTGATAACTTTTAATTTTATTTTCTTGTTAATATTTATTTATTGCATGTTAAACCAAATAAGAAAATAATTCTATTCTATTGGAGTGGGGGTAGTAGTGAGTCAGTATAGTTAGAATATAAAGACAATGGGAATGTTCCCTTATATTACTGGTAGATCCATTCTATACCAAAGTAGGTTAAATATACCATTCATTTACTGGTTTGATTACATATCGTAAACAATACTAAGTGTAGTTGGTAAAAATAGTCACACTTCAGTAACTCTAAATAATACACGGACCCAGCCTTGATGAATAAGACCTTGGTGGCAGCTAAATACACATCTTTCAGGTGTGTTAGAATAGAAAACAAAATCTTCACAGATTGCTGGCTGCATATCATATATGGGAGGAGGCTAACATTCCATGTACAGTTAACAAGAACTATGTGAACAGCACGAGTTTATTTAGACAACAAATACAAAGACTATCGCTTACAAAAAACTTGTGTAGAACTTCAAATAAACTGTGTTGATTATTATTGATCCAAAGCTTTAGTAACAAGTAGTTTTTTAACTGAAGCAGCATGTACTCTGTCATACTGAAAAGTCAGCGGCTGTAAGGATGAATAGGTGGCAAGGAATGCCAAGTGACAGAATAATGCCCCATTCATAGAGAACACCCATTTGTTTTGGTCTAATTTGCCTGTATTGTGTAAGCCATGTCCATGGTCAAACAGTATCCAGGAATCGACACAGTGATTGAATATGAAAAGGCCATGCAAAGTTTTATGACAATAGGTATTGATTGTCAGAGCTTGCACTATGTCTCACACCAGGGTGGGGCTGCAACGATAGAAATGTCATTGTTCACAACTAGGAAATTACGCTCAAATTCATGCTTCGTTTACAAGCACACTGAATCATATCAAATTTACAATAACTTGAGAGAGACCATGGGTCGAATAATACGTCACTAAAACTGAAATTAAAAATATGTTGTATAATGTTTCCTAAACACGCCTAACATAAAATTTAAAAAAAAATTGACAGCAAATATACCATTCGAAATAAGATGGATACGAAGTTAAGGATTGTACAATACTAGTATGCTGGTAAATTCGGAGATGTTATAAATGTGTTCACAATAAATGACATGTTCATTGTAATTGAAAATATAACAAATATTTAACGGTCGTACGTAATGGCCAATTATGTTAGATGCTTGGCAATAATTTATGTGATGTACAAAAAAGGCCCAGGACATGATCTGAAAAAAAAAATCCAGAACTAACTAATCGACAAGTCACATAAAATAGCTAGTAGGAAAATACTGAACTTTTTTTTTCGAGTCGTGTAATCGTGAAACAACTGGTTACGTTACTTTACCTGAGCCGGAAAGTGCCGACGGCCACACATCACAGCAAAAGAACAAGAAAAGTAGAATGGACTTATTAAACATATTATCCCAGATCCGGTATAAAAAAAGCTCCAAAATAGTTTTTAACTTGAGAAGCTTGAAAACATTACAACGTGCCACCGAATGCACCTAGTTTCGACAAAACTACGACAGCCAACTAACTTTTAGCATTACAAAAGGCGCGGCGAGTTGGGCTGGGTGAGGTCAAGGGTTATATTTATCATGCGTCACTTCCTGGACCTACATCATTTTCCATGGTGAAACTATTTGAGGTTCTAAATAAGGAAACTAGAATAAATGAAGTATTATAATTACTATTATTATTATTAATGCATACAAGTTTATAAGATTAAATATAAATCGAAATATACAGTTTGTTGCTATATTGTGAATGTATTCATACATCGTAAGGCGCTCGCCCAAATGGACTTACCTACCCATTCAGATAATGGTACAGTCTTTTCAATAACCGGGACATTTAAGATGGCGGCGCCCATTGTAACGTGCATGGTTCCGTTATCTCATAATATTTGTGGATCGGAGGTGTTTTCGTGGTCACTGGATCATAAAACCGCCATTGCTACCGATCACTGTGTATACATTATGGTATGTTGCATAATTATAGTTAATCGAAAAAAATATTGCATGCAAAGTGTGATTGTCTGTTGTTGAGTTTGGTCGATATCGTAAGGAAGAGTAGTCATAGTATATATAGAGGGCGCACGCAGTATATGATGTTTTTAATGCTCATAGGAGAAACAAAATAATGAACCATCATTATTAAACTAATTTAACAAGTGACTGATTTCAGTTTGAGACAACAAATGTATTTTGAATTTATGCCAATCAAGCAATTACTCTTGACGAAAATGTGTTTCGTACACCAAGTAGCAATATCGTCTGCTACCTGTGTAGCTGCAGTTCTCTAGCTCACGATTCCCGGTCTTCGGGTCATTAGAGAAGAACTGAGCTACTTAATTGCAGCTACTACCTGTGTTGCAACATGGAATTACTAACCTTGTAGGTCCACGATTGCAAGCAGTGTTGCCTCCAAATCTGATAACGATCGACTGGCGTCCGGTAAGCCTATTGAGATTATTTACGTGTACGAAAAATATTCACGGCATGCACGCTATACATCTTATTTTAATCAGATTGAATGTATGCCTGGCATTGGTACGCAAATCATATTTTGTTTGTCGTTATAGGATATTCAGTGTTCATCTAGTGATAGCAGCAAGTCATTTACTTTGCCGAAGTCAGTCATACCAGCTTCAGAGAAGTCACTGGAGTTTGATGTTCAGATCAGTGAAGAAACGGTTCTAGAAAATATACAGCTAAAACCATCGGGTCAGTCATTACCATAGACTGGCAAAGTCGGTCATATTTCTTGTTTTACAAAAAGAAATAATTAATTGTTCTTTTAGTCCTTTTAGCGTGATCGTGAAAACTAACCTGAACGCTAAAGAAATCCCGACTGGACGCATCTATAGGCATTTGACTGCTATTAATTATTCATGATGTTATTGATTATTCATGGGATTGGCTAGTATGAAAGGTTGCTTCGATTTGATCGCAGAGATGGATACTTTAACTTTCTAAGTGCAAAGGTGATACTTTCATCCATGTTTACTGAAAACAAGTCGATTTAAATGCCAATGTATATAAGAGGTCTTTCAAAATCGCTGGGACCTCAGAAGTGAAAGGTCACGTACATTAACGAAGATAAGATATGACGTATCAGCCGCACTCTGATTCGTTGTCAATGCTAGTCAACAACTGTTAATTAGCATATTCACCGGAGTGATTCCGCTCCGGTTTTCACTCCCACCCAGTCACGCTAGTTTTCGTGATCACGTTAAAAAGGCTAAATTGAGAATTAATTATATTTTTGCTTGTAAAACAAAAAAGAAGTTTCACTTTGCCAGTCTATCATTACCATAGTGGTTCTATTTACTTCTATTTAGTTGAAGTGGTAAAATATAACAAACTGTAAAACACACATATATCCACTAATCAATAATAACCTCCTCCTCAACATATGTGGGGACACGATAAATCACAGAAGCTGGTAAATGAACATGCATTAATCGGGACTACCAATGACTAAGATGACTTTCTATCATCGTCATACCCCATCTGCATTCCAATATGCAAATCAAGGCATAGGCACAGCTGTTGTATGATCCCAATGACAATGTAAAGTGTTGTCGTTAATCTATATTATTCCTAGTATCTTTGGTTGCTCTGAGCGTCAATGTTGTGAGATTAGCTAGTCCTGATTACTTTTGACATTTTTATCGGTTGTATTTTCATTATGCCATGTTTAGCTTAAACTCAGATACCAAGCTTTGAGTTGCAGTGGTTTTAAGTTTCACACTCGTCATGTACACTTTACTTATTAGTATCATAACTTGCATTACAATATGTGTATTTAGCGTAACAAGTTTGGTTTGTTCCAGAAATATTAAGCTGACAGTGACCAGGGAAGAACATTAATATCACAGTTATCCTAGCCTAAAAAACATTTTCAAGTTTTCCTACAAATAATAAAATTAAGATCTGTTTTCAGAAAACATTCACAATCAATTAATTCACATAAATAACGGTTTTCTTATAGCAAATAATTTCATTTGTTTGAAAGAATCGATAGTAAGATTGGAATTGGTAATTGTTCAATAATAAGTGCATTGATTCTTCTTTTAAGTCCCTGTTCATATGTAGTCGGAAAACAAGGACTTATAATTTCACCTGTGTGTGTGCATCTGTGCACCCATCTGCACCTGTATCTCAGACATGTCTGGGCCAATTTAAATCATTCAAATTTCACACACATGATCAAATTCAAGATGGTCGACTTGTGGCCATTTTAGTGCAAATCATCAAAATCAAGCACTGCTGCAATTCCAGACTCAGATCTCAGTCATGTCATTCACACTAAGTACTGTAAAATCTGTATTAGAAACCGCAGCTTCTATTAAAATGGTACAATGCAACAGAGGGAATGTGTCTTCTATTGGAGCGTGTACACATATGAGAAATCATGAATTTTTGGTACTCAATTGTTCAAAAAGAATGGGTGTGTCTTATATTAGGGATACAGATTTTACAGTATGTTCATTAAACATGATGGATCCTTGAAGTAATTTTTTTTTCCAGATCGGATTAAAAATGGCAGACTGGCTGCCATTTTGTTTTAACAAATGCAGTTCCCGGGCCATATATTTCTGATATCCCTTAATCGATTGTCTTCAAACATTACACATCATATCATACATAAGCACATGCATGTTTCACGATCAATTCAAGTTGGTCGAATGGCAGCCATTTTAGTTTTAAAAAATTTATTAAAATTTCTGCAGTTCTTGAATTAGCACTGGGTCATGTACAGGCATATTTCAATCACATACATTGAACTTGATGAGACATTGATACATATCATTTTTTCCTCAGATCAGATTAAAAATGGCTGACTGATGGCCATTTGTTTTAATAAATGTTGTTCCATAGCCACATTTCTGACATGCCTTGACCGATCTCATTCAACACAAATACTCAAAATGCACAAATATACTGGCTGGTGTCATTTCATATTAGAAAGACATGAATGTCTTGTATTGGCCCTCATACAACCAGCAAGAACAGTAACTCCACTGTAACAATGCAATCTACCATCATATACATGTACAGTACTAAACCGCACCAATAGACCATTGCTTTCTTTTCTAGCTGTGGGTCTATAGCTCTTCTTGTGTCAGTCTTTAGTCTTTGTGATGGTATTTTAGTCATTTCTGATACAAAAAGGCTAAGCTTGATGCAATACATGATGATATGTAATGACTTGATATTACGACAAAAACAAATAACAATCATAATTTCTCCAACATACTTTAATTCCCATTCAAATATTTTTACCAAATGCAGTCATATAGACATGCACTTCAAGTTGTTTTCCAATGATTTTGAGCTATGTTTTTGACTCCCGTGTGCGAAGCACAAAAGGGAGTCTTTGCAGCTACCCTGTCTGTATGTCTATATGTATGTATGTCTGTATGTATGTCACTTTTTTTGTTCCACCGTTATCTCAAGAACCACTAATCAAATTTTGATGGATTTTGATGTAAATTGGCACGTGGATGCTCTGAACTAATGTTTTGGGTAAAAATCTGTTTATATTAATTACCTAATTTGCATAATGATTAATCAATTTTCGGCGTTTCCACTGATATCTCAAGTACTTATCATAACATTTCAATAAAACTTGGTACTTAGATGTCATATGACACTTCACAGACCTGATCGTTTTTAGGGTAATATCAGTACATATTAATTACCTAATTTGCATAATTAATTAATTTTCAGCTTTTGATATTTTAAGTAGTAATGATCACATTTAAATGAAACCTGGTACATAGTTACTTTTGAGGACTGTGCAGAGACCTAATTAGTTTTTGGGTATATTACCGGTAATCACCTTATTAGCATAATTAATTAATTTTCAGCTTTTCACTTAATATCTCAAGTACTAATCATCACATTTCAATGAGACTTGCGACACAGATCTTATGGAACTATGCAGAGACCTGATTAATTTTGGGGTAAATAATTGTGCATATAAATTACCTAATTTGCATAATTAGTTAATTTTTTGCTGTTTCATGGCTGTTGCACTGATGTCTAAAGAACCACTCATTTGATTTTAATAACACTTTTAAAGAGTACTCATCATCACATTTCAATGAACCTAGGATTATACACCATATTAGTTTTTGGTAAATATTTATGCTCCTTAATCACCTAATTAACATAATTAATTAATACTGGTATCTCAAGTACTGATCATCACATTTGAATACAATTTGGTGCATAAATGCTTTAGGACAATAGACAGCCTGATTAATATTGGGTTAAAATCTGTTCATATTAATTCTCTGATTAGCATAATAATGAATATTTTTTTTGTTCTAATCACTTTTCAATGAAACTTGGTACATAGATATTATATTACGCAGATCTTATTACTTTCACATTGTGCAGACCTTATTAGTTTTACAGTTAAATCTGTTCATATTAGTTACCTTATTTGCATAAGCTTTTCCTTCAATATCTCAAGTTCAAGTAACTTTGAATTAATTTTTAATGTGTCTCCAATTCTCTCAGCACACAGGAGTTCTTTTTATGCTTTCTTTGATTTCTTGCTATGTTTTATGTTGAGCACATAAAGATATTGTTGAAAAAAATTGACAGGGACAGAGACTGTGTCATTCTCAATAACTTTTTATACATATACTTTTAGTTTTATTAACTAATTGGGTATAATGTTATTGAACCCAATGCTGTCACCAAGGATGTGATTTTAACACTCAACCCTGTCTGTATTTACAGAGTCCTTAGCTACGATGACACTGGACCCAACATTGTCACCAAGGATAGGATTGCCTGAAGTTTACTTGGGGTACAAAATGGTCAAATGGTCTCCTTTACACTGTGACCAGCAGGGAAGGTAATTTTATTCTTCATTTCATAGATTTCATAGATGTCATTTCTCTGTAGCATCTGTCATCAAGCCACTTTTGTATGAATAGAATGAATTTCAGGGGATTATGAAGATTCGTCTCGTTGTCATGACAATTTACTCATTTTTACAAATGTGCAGCAGAATGAATTTTTCAAATACGACTGAATTATTGTTTTGGTCATATTCAAATAAAATTAGATAATTGGAGTTTCTTCCAAATTCATTTCCACTTAATTTTGCATTTACCATATTTGCTGTATTAGAAGTGCATCTGTAATAGTAGAGCATGTCATTGAAATGTAGCTCAATGTACGTATATGTATGCGCTACTTATACTGTAAATATGGTAAACAGTTTACTGATGTACCGATAAATACTATGCAATTTATTCTTCATCTGCACATTTGGATACTAACCCTCTTGATCCCAGGGTGAGTTGATTTGTCTATCATCCATATATACTGGGATACTTTATATACCATAATGAGTTTACTTGAAGTCTGTGGCATAGCATAGAGTCGCCCAACTGTGGTTTACTTGATTTGCCATCTGGATGTAATCAGATGGCTGGAATGATTTGTAAACTCAATATGGGAATACCTCCATAGATCCCTGCAGCTACAGACTAATTTGTAAGAGAGATTTTGGGAGATTCTTGTAAAAATCCTGAGCGAGTTGTACTGTGTTGTTGTTAAACATGTTTTGGAACTTATTTGAAATTTAATATGGCATCCTTTTGATGTTTTTCTTTGATTACAGCAGTTGACAGTTGATAGACAATTTTATGCCAGTCTCTCCAGCTGGCTGTAGAGGATATGTGAATGTCAATGTGAAATAGAAATTTTGTTTAAATTGATACAAAGATAATACAAATATAATTCTTCAGTTACTTTGTATTTTCAGGAGTCTATTGTGTTGCTTAACGATGGATCACAGGTTGACTATATACAAACACATGGCAGTCAAGAAATGGGAAAAGGCAAGCATATATCATATATATTGTATGCAGACTAATATACTTTTGCCATACTGTATTTGCTCTGTTAGTAGCATACGCACTTACATATATGACAGAGGTGTATTCATGGTCAAAATAGTCGTATTTTAATGATCCAGTTTTACAAGAAATGCAACTGCATTTACTGAAAATGTATGTCTAATAGAGCAAATATGGTATTTTTGTTATGAAATGCATATTTCTAACTTTATGTCTAGCCATGTATGCGTAGACATGCTGTGACTGATTTTGTTCAAAATTGGTACAAAGGTGATGAATATTATTTATAATCATATCTTTGGCTATTTGATCTACCGGGTATTCATATTTGATTGGCAGGCAATTTACTCCCAATATCCCATAATTTCAACAAAACCCTGTTTTTCTTGCTATGAAGCCAAGACACACATAATGAGTTTTTTGTTTATTTGTTTATTTTATTATCAGTGCTATCAATTTTTATAATTTTGAAAGCATTTGTGAGGCTGGAATTTAGCGTAATTCAATGACACTGTGTCATAAGGATTTCAATGAATGAAATCACTGCTAAAACGTTTTATAGGCATGAAAAAATTTTTTTCCTTATAGCACATATAGTGTGGAAGATAGAGAACATGAAAATGCATTCTAAAGGGAACAGTATATGGTGAATAATGATTCAAGCTGTAATAATAATAATAATAATAATAACAATAATTGTCAATAATTTTACAAAACTTAGCCTTTTTTACAGGTTTTTCGTGTTTTTTCTCATTTTCACTAGATTATTGATGTATCAGAATTACTATACTCGACAGTAAAAGAGAACAAATTTAAATTTCCACATCACCTCACTCCTGATGTACACAAACCATTTATTGGAAAATGCGAAATATATGAAAGATACAAGAAAAGACATTACATGCTGGCAGTGATTGCTATGGAATGGTCTGATCTCTATCATTCACATAAAGACACCACCTTGACACCTGCCAAGAAGATGAAGATTGAGAAGGTTGCAGAAAAATTTACTTTACTAGCAACGCTAAACAGAAGCAGCCATGTTGTTATTTGGAAACTTATGACCCCAATAATCTCAGAGTATGTTGTATTTGTGTTAATCCTAAAAAACAGAGGGCGCTGTTCCCACAATTGAGAGCATAAATACATGTATTACTTATCTGTCATCAATTCATTATACCTAAGAAACAAAGTTTTTGCAAATGTCACTTGGTTTTTTTCAACAGGGAGTTGCCCAAAGTTCTGAAAGAATGAATATTTCAGGAAGCATAAATTTACTAGTTTTAAGCCGTAATTTGATGCTTGATACATAGCTGTGATCTATACACAGGCTTCACTGAACACAAAATGGTTATTCTAGGCAGGGAACTATGAAACTTGGCCATATTAATTTCCCTTGATGTATATTCATTCTAATGTAATCCTGACTTTCAAATTAGCTGATCCTGCTGATTGTAATTAACTTCTCTTCTCAGAAATTCTTTAACCATACACGGAGTAATAGACACAAGTTTTGAAACACCAGTCTCCCTGTCATGGTGTCATTTGTCTGGTTTATCATCAGATAGTTTATCAAATCAATATGGTGAGCTTTTTTCTTATTGCTTCTTCATACTCAATTTGTGAAAAATAAATTTTCATATAATTTGCAAAACCAGGAAAATTATTCTTAAAGCGTGGCTCCACAATCCCAGGGATTGCACCAATTGTATTGCCGATATATTCATGTTTGTGTGTGATATGAAAATAACGCTCCACAGGCGTTAAAATTGTCAAAAATAGTGATTTTGCAGAGCACTCCAAAGTGATGTTTCATGATTGAGTGCATTTGCATACTAAAAACTGGCGGCCATCTTTCCTTTTATACACCCAGAGCCACAGTTTAAGATGGCAAGTTTTGTCTGCACGAATGATGTAAAATTATCTAATCATGACAATTATATTGACAAATATAAGTTTACGTTAACCTTGTTGACAATGCATACTGAAAGACCTGATCAAAACAGTCATGCTCCATTTGCTCAATTAGAAATGTATTTCATTAGAAGCACATGTAAAGCGACTGTTGCATGTATTGTATACTGGATTATTAATATATGACTGATTTGGTCTAAGACAACTCTTTCATTTATGTAAACTGATATGCTACTAATGAAGCAAATATAGTACTATGAATTCACAAATAATTTCATCTTCAGCTGATTTATGTACAGCACCAAGTACCTTTGTATTCATGAAGAGGACTGGAGGCTCTCATTTTGAATCTTGATTCAACATTTAGGAAATAAAAATGTTTCATGTTAAACTAAACTTGTACTGAAGTGTGTTCATGTGTACTACATGTAGTGTAATACAAGACTTTGATTTGTCATCTAGGAATATTTGCAGTAGGTGACATTTCTGGACAAATTGTGGTGTGGAAAATGGATGTACATTGTAGACAGTCTGGCAGCCTTGATTCATTGACTGTGTGGGAAGACAAAGATCTTTTGAGTCCCAGTAAAATGACATGGAAGTATATGGTAAGTCAGTTCAGAGAAGACCTACTGCATGTCTGAACATGCCACAACCTGGTGGTTTACCTTACCGAGATATACTGCATGACTTTGAATATGAGCTAATACACTGTGCCTAAACTATCCATATTATATTTTCCATGGTTGAACTAAACAGTTAATGCTATTCACATGTATGAATTAACAACACAATCTGATGTATGATGTCATGGAATGTTATATTACATTGTTTATGACAATGGATATTAAAGCTGTAGATTATTGTCTTACAGGCAAATAAAGATATTTATATTCTAGCTGCAGCAAAGGGAGCTTACTTAATGATATTCATGATAAAGATAAAAGACAATAAATTGATTCTTGTTAGCAAATATCAGCCCAGTACAGTACATCCTGTATCAATTACGGGTAAGTTAAGTGGTCAATACCTTCCAAATACAGTGCATCCTGTATCAATTACAGGTAATTTAAGTGGTCAATACCATTCAAGGGCAGCGCATCATCAATTAAGAGTAAGTTAAGTGGTCAAATCCAGACAAGTACAGTGAATCATTATCAATTACAGGTAAGTTGAGTGGTCAACATCAGTTTTATTTAAAAAAAATTTTTAGTTCTCAGAATGTTGATGAATATTCATCATATTGTTTCATAGGTCTTTCATTTCAAGATAACATCATCATGACATTAAGTATGGAAGGCACAATTAAAAAGACAATTATAAAAGTTGAACAGAATGGTGAGTACCGATACTAGTGAAATCAGTAAACTGTTGAATTGTTTACACTAAAAATGATTGTGATTTGTTTTTATATCAATCCTTTTTTTAAATTTTTTTTCAGCAATTTCATCTGAGACACAGCCTGTATTGCTAAATGCTAATGAAAAAGAAATCAGGAAATACCATTATGTTGTGTTGTCTCCAAATTGTGTATATGCTGCATTTGTCACCAGGTAGGATATCACCAAAAAATGGCTGTCACCCATCAGGATAGGTCACTTTAATGACCCCTAAAAGTCACATATCCTGGTACTTTTTTTTGGTATGACAGAACTACAAATATTTTAATGTGTCTCTGTGTCCTAACAAATATTCCAGTCTAGGACATAGTGCTGAAATATCAATAAAATATATTTATTTTTTATTTTCATGCCAATAAAAGTACCAGGATTTATGACCTTTAGAGGTCATGAAAGTACCAGGATGAATGACCTTTAGAGGAAATGAAAGTGATGTATTGGACAAATACGCATGTCTTGTTGAGAAATTGCCAGTCAGCACAAAATTGTTCAATTGATGAATTCTCATTTTATAGAGGAAATCATTGAATATACCGGTATATATATATATATATATTTCCATTTCCTAGTTGAATGATAAAGTTGCACAGAGGCTAAAATTAATACTGCCATGGTTTGTGGAAATGAAGAATTCTGACATGCAATATGCTGCAGTGCTAAAGAGAAAGTGATGTACCAACTAATGTTTTATTAGTCCCTGTTCGGACGAAGTCCCAAAACGGGGACTCATAATTCAGTCTCCGTCCATCCGTAAGTCCGGACTCGTATCTCAGAATTCTTTGGAATGATTCTGTTCATTCTTTGCGTGTGTCTAGTACTTTATGTGGGACATATGCACATGCAGTGGTTTAGCGATTTGATTCAAAATGGCCGACTGGCAGCCATCTTGTTTTTTGAAAATGACGTATTTTGGACATGCTTTGTCGGTTTTCATTCAAATTTGGTACATAGATCATACATGTTAGGATACATGTCCTCCAACCGTCCGTGAGTCCCTGAGTCTGTCCGTTCGTCCATCCATTCGTCTGTTCGTGTGTCAGTCTGTCCAGAATCATATTTCAGAATCCTTTGGATCGATTTCATTCATTATTTGTATGTGCATAGTACCTTATGTGGGACATATGCACATGCAGTGGTTTAGTGATTCGATTCAAAATGGCTGACTGGCAGCCATCTTGTTTTTTGAAAATGTTGTATTTTGGACATGCTTTGTCAGTTTTCAGTCAAACTTGGTACATAGATTATACATGTTAGGATACTTGTCCATGACAATTTGTTTCAAAATCTGATCAAGGATGGCCGATTGACAGCCATCTGACTTTTTGGCCTTTCCACAATTTATGTACCATTTTCATTCGTATTTGGCACATACAACCCCTTCCAAAAATCAATTATTTATTATTTCTTGCAGTTTACTAAATAACATAACAAAAAAAACTAAAGTGGAAGTTCAAATAATGGAGGTGTGCAATGAATCAGAACTATTAAAGTATTTGCTGGCTATTAAAGGTAAATGTTATCAACATGCATCCTCTTCTGAATAATTGTCTCATTCTTTTTTTTTATTTTCTGCTGATTATAACTATTTGTGAAAGACATTGCTTGCTGGCAGCATAAATCAGACTGGTCAAGATTCATTCACTAGCTGATACAACTTTGGATGAAACTCGGTTGAAGTTTGTTGGTACCGGATTGGCCAGGATAGCCTATTATTTTGAAATAAGGAATATTGTTTTGGTGTTTTGACATAAAATCAGATGCGACATTGAGCTTTTGTCTGGCACTATAATAATGTATAAGTTATAGCAATTTGTCAGTCAAAAGTGATAAAATTGGATCAAGTTCTTTCTTGACTTTTCCATATTTCTTGTAACTGCTGAATTTTTATTTGTTTGAATCATAATTGCAGGATCTTTATCAAATTACGTTGATACGATTGAGTACATAAGACAACACATCGTCTCTGATAACTTATCACAACCATTGCAGCAATTCATGAAATCTACCGAAACAACGCCAGCATTAATCAAATTGGGATTATTTATACAGAGAATTCAGCTAAATCAGGTGAAACAAACGCTGAGTGGAAAGACCGTGACTGAGGGAGAAGAAATTAGTGATGACATCAAAGAATTGAAATCTCAAGAAAATCAGCTGGTAAAAATGTTTTAAAATTATTCTGTTAAACATATTGAGTGTATTAAGTATGGTGAGAATATGAAAAAAAGCTGACTTGTATTCAAATGACTAAATAAAACAACATGGCATTATTGGATAGTACATATAGGATAGAGTAACATATGCAATAGTTTAAAAGCTTTTTTCAGAATTTGATGAAGTTTTAGACATTTTGTTTTCCAATATTCATGAAAAAAAAGATAAAGTTCAAGTGGTTTAAAGTTGCCATGGTTGACTACAAGTTGCCAGGGTTGACTACAAGTTGCTGGGGTTGACTACAAGTTGCTGGGGTTGACTACAAGTTGTCAGAGTTGGCTACAAGTTGCCAAGCTTGACTACAAGTTGCCACGGTTGACTACAAGTTGTCAGGGTTGGCTACAAGTTGCCAGGGTTGACTACAAGTTGCCAGGGTTGACTACAAGTTGCCAGGGTTGACTACAAGTTGCCAGGGTTGACTACAAGTTGCCATGGATGACTACAAGTTGCCACTGTTTACTACAAGTTGCCACGGTTTACTACAAGTTGTCAGGGTTGGCTACAAGTTGCCAGGCTTGACTACAAGTTGCCAGGGTTGACTACAAGTTGCCAGGGTTGACTACAAGTTGCCAGGGTTGACTACAAGTTGCCAGGGTTGGCTACAAGTTGCCATGGTTGACTACAAGTTGCCACGGTTGACTACAAGTTGCCAGGGTTGGCTACAAGTTGCCAGGGTTGACTACAAGATGCCACGGTTGACTACATGTTGCCACGGTTGACTACATGTTGCCAGGGTTGACTACAAGTTGCCAGGGTTGGCTACAAGTTGCCATGGTTGACTACAAGTTGCCACGGTTGACTACATGTTGCCAGGGTTGACTACAAGTTGCCATGGTTGACTACAAGTTGCCAGGGTTGACTACAAGTTGCCAGGGTTGACTACAAGTTGCCAGGGTTGACTACAAGTTGCCAGGGTTGACTACAAGTTGCCAGGGTTGACTACAAGTTGCCAGAGTTGACTACAAGTTGCCAGGGTTGGTTTCAAGTTGCCACGGTTGGTTTCAAGTTGCCATGTTTGTTGCCATGGTTAATTACAAGTAACCCTTGTTGACTTCAAATTGCTGTGATTTGTCATCAGTTGCCATAGTTGACAGTTTAGTCTCTTATTGTGCACATTTGGTGTGAGAATTGATGTATTGACGTAAAGATGGCATTGCATTCTGGAAATAATTCAATACTTTTGAAGATCACATGCTGTTTTCAGATGCAAGATATATCATCCAACGAATTGAGCATAATAAAAACTTACATCATTCGCGTACTGAAATCATGGAAAGATAAGAGAGATATCAGACAGAAATTAACACAACAAGGTAATTCACAAGACTATGATATAATTTTGTCAATGTGATTTTTGACTCCCATGTGCGAAGCACATAATGGGAGTCTTTGCAGTTAGTGTGTCTGTGTGTGTGTATAATTACCTAATTTGCATAATTAATTAATTTTCAGCATTTGATATATGTAGTGAGCATTACATTTCAATGAAACTTGGTACTTACATACTCAAGGACTATGCAGAGATTGATTGTTTCCGATAAATATTTGTGCATATT